GTAGGGGGGCGTTTCCCTGATGAGTACGAAGTGCCGTCGAGGACCTTGCAGGATTGAAAACCCCTGAAGCTCTACTTGACTACAGACCGCAGGCTAGTATCGCGTAGGTACACGATGACGAGACGTAGATATAACTCTGGATTATCCAGTAGTCTACCAGCGCGTCTTCGTTGATAAGTACTCGATGCATCGACAGAAGAGAGCCTCTTCAGTAGACGTACGCTTCCGCACTGCGAGTGAACCTCTAGCTGCATTGCTAAACTCTGGTGTCCAATGAACTATGTTAGATGTCGTACGGGCCATGATAACTAAACGTACGGCAAATCGTGAGTACGGAAGGTAGCGAACGTGAGGTGTGGAAACATGACTTCTACATATTAGATGCTGCCTACCGGATAGGAAGAGGAGTAGCGATGTTTGGTAAGATATACAGTACTCAGAGTGTTCCAAACGCAGTCTTTGTTAATGGCATGGCGATCTTGCTACCCGGCATTGTCCCCTCCCGCGCAGGTGCAGTTTCAACTTCGATGATCGGGCGCGCGCTAGCCCGCCTGCGACGCATGGAGAAACCAGAGTAGCAACCACGAGGGATCTCCATAGAGTCGTCAAAGTTCATGCATACCGCAGAGGGCTGTCGGATCTGCACGCTCGGCTGGGGTTGCGTCTGATACCTCGCAGATGCAGGTGAAGAGGTCGGTGACTTCTGCGTGAATCCAATACCTCGCCCAATGCGTCGCACACCCGCTCCGAGACCTACGGGCTCCCCCTCGCGCGGATCTGGCTTGAGGATTACCCCTGCCGTAGTCGAAGGTTGATCGACGAGTGATGGCGATGGAGCTATAGCTGGCGTCTCCGGAGGTGCATTGGGCATAGCTGCGTGGGAAGGTGCGCGGCTCCAGCGCGAGCGAAGCGAATACTGGCTACGGCGAAGAAGAGCCTCGCCGTTGCGCAGGATACGACCGCCGACGCTGCGAACGGGGGATGGTACAGGCGGGGTCTTTGTGAACTGGCCTGCCTGCTCTAACGAGAGAGCGCTCCAGCGGAAGGATTGGTTCTTGCGCACAGTAAACGCGCCCTCGTCGATCGTCGGCGTTGGTATATCGGCAGGGGCATCCGGCATCATTGACGCGGCGGAGGCGCGGAACGGGTCGGCATTTACATCCAGCCCGTCATGTCCTGGCTCGCCATTGACCATAAGGCGTGGCGGAGGGAGACCAGGGTGATCAGGATACCAATCGAGCTCTGGCACGGTGATCTCAATGTCCGCGAGGTCCTCTCGCGTGAGCAGCGTTCCCTCGCGCCCACCCTTCTTGGTCGGAGTCACAGCTACCGCTTCGCGCCGCCTACGGCGCAGCTTATCACGAACACGCAAACGGAGAGAGGTCGTGTCAGCCAGGCCTTGAACGTCACACTCTTCATCGTCGCCCTCATCAACCTTCTCCTGCCTGTGGTCATATTGGCCTTCATCATGCCCGTTCAAGACATCCATGGATGTAGCGGCGGTCCACATTCCAAACTCATCCACGTCCTCGCATCTTCCCTCGACATCGATCATGGTGAGCCCAAGTCCAGCAGGAACTGGCTTCGGCACCATAGATGCGCGCACTGTCAACATGCTGGTGTCGAGCCCGACCGGGCTGTCAGCAAGTGGAAGCGGCAATGTGCGGTCCGGCGCAGGATTGGGCGGTCGTAGCCGAATAGCAGGCGACGAGGTAAGAATGGGCGAGCCGATGAAGGACGAAAGCGCCGGAGAACCAAGGCCAGCCTCGCTCGGCGTAGGTGAGGGTATATCCTTGATCTCTGCCGCTTGAGGCAGAGGCGTAGTGGCGGGAGTCTGGATGGAGCTTCGCGTACTAGATGTTGTCGGAGGCGAGAGAGATAGGCTGGGCGTGAGAGGAGGACTCTGTGGACTCTGACCGCGCAAGGAGGCCTGCGTAGTGGGAGACGCCGGTACCGCTATCGATATTGGTCGGGCTGCAGGAAGCCGGGTACGAGTTGCTCGACCAAGTACGGCACGATGAGCGGATGAGAAAGTGCTGAGCGACGTTGCATGAGAAAGCGTGCGTGCGTGGCGATGTTTGATGTCATTGGGCTTGGGCGACGGAGGAAGCGCAATGCGCGAAGGCTGTACAGATGCTTTCGAGCGCTTCGTATGGAGCGAAGGGGTTAGTACCACGGGTCGCTCAGGGGAGTCAGAGGCAGGATACACTGCTGGCGGCAGAATAACGTCCAGGTCTATAGATAATGAGCATTCATGGACGCGCATCTGATACCTGCATGTGCACTGACCCTGTCCCGATTCGTGAAGAACGGTGCCCCATTCGCTGAGGGGAGCAAGTCAGTACATGACAAGAGGCCAGTGAGAGAGGTAAGATGCTTACATATCAGCGAATATCGGGTGTTCGCAAACAGCCAAAAACCCAAGGCGTTTCGCAGGGTTGCGTTCGAGGCACTAGAGACATGGATTTCAATGACGGGAGAGTAGGACAAATTGCCGGGCTTACCTCCTCAATCAGCCCACGGAGGGACGGATCAAGCCTGTTCAGTGCAACGCAGGACGTCGTCCCGGCAAGGATGCGCTTCTTCATGGTGTCGCTGCGGAGTTTTTCGGACGCAGATAGAGAGAATGGATGCTGGAATATTGCTTAATCGCGTGCAGGTGAGGGAGGGTGAAGATAACTAACCTGTCCGAGTGCCATCCAGGAAAGGACGATACCGTAGGCCCACCAATCGGCTTCAGGACCTGTCTCCCAGCCAAGGAGGGCCTCTGGTGCGTGATGCCACTCTCCAGCCGTCTCACGGTCGACAGGGCGTGGCGCCGCTCGCATGAAATGCATCGCGTTCTCGAATCCACCGAGTATGAGATGGCCGTTCGCGCGTAATTGTACGACGGATGGTCTGACGGCCCCATGAATGACACCGAGATCATGAAGAGAAATCAGTCCGCAGGCCTGTCGAGATAGTGAGCAAGGTCAAGAGTACAGCCACTGGTCTAAACATACAAGTTCTGCACCCCACGTACGAAGAAGTTGACGCGTCACCGGTCCCTGATTCTGAATGTACTGCAACAGCGTGCCACCATGATGATACGGCGTGACAAGGTAGGCAGACTTGTCGTCTTCCCATGCATAGATCAGGCGATCGAGATAAGGGCTTTCGTCCTCGGCGTCCACTTCTGAGATAGCCCTCAGGGTGTCACGTTCGGCCTGAGCCTTTTCCCCTACTGGATGTCTGTACGCGCGTACTACGACAAGCCCGGCGGATTTCTGGGCGTAGGCGAGATATATCGTGCGCGCGGCGGGTTGCGAGTGGTACAGGGTACGGAGGATAGAGTAACTGTCGGACATGGGCAACGGTAAAGGCGGCGCAGGCGCAGGCGTCGTCGCAAATTCCTCGCGATCATCCTTCAGAGGACGTTTGGGTGTACAAGTTGCATTCTTCTTGGTCTTTCCGCCGCCCCGGACAACCATAACCTCCTGTGGTCGATACTCAGATACTGAACCCGGATATCCATATCAGGACAAGAGACTCACGACTATATCTTCGTCGTCCCATTCGGAGTCAACGTCACGTATATTACTAACGGCCTGAAGGTGGGGTGAGCGACGATCATATCAGTAGACAGCGGAGGGTTGATCATACCTCAACGACGTAGCTCGCTTCATGACGGATCGATTTATGCGCCGGCGCGCGTTGGAAGACGTCCCCACTCTCCGCAAGCGCTGGGGTCGCCGCAACCGTTTCATCCTTGTATGGCGAGAATCGGAGGAGGGTGGAGAATGATTCCTGTTCGCGTGATCAGTACTACATCGAAAGATAATGTGAGAGTGCATACAGAGAAGGGAGTGGTGTCAACAGTCTCGTCTAGGTGAGGCGTAGGGGGGTATTCACGAGGGAGCGCAAGCGTCATGGGTGTGCTCTGAGAGCGTTCATGGCTGGGAGAGGGTTTCCCCGACTTGGCAGGGCTACCACCCATTGAGCGAGTCACCAAGTGCTTCGTCCACGGTGACTTTCGTGGGCTCAGGCTGGATCGTGTAGAGAACATAGTGAGCGTCCGATGCGAGGAGAAGTCGGTGGCGGTGGGATCCAAGATGTTCAAAAGCGATCGCAGAGGTTCACATTTATCAGTTGATCTCCACAGTGTCGCCGCCCACCTAGACCAACTCGTCTTGTTCGCGAGCATGGAAGTCCAGGGTTGCGTGAACGCATGTCAATCCTTGAATGTGTGCCTGCCATGCTAAAGCCGAACATTCGTGGCGACATCGGGATCTGGGTTACAAGCATGTACACTAGGATATGCCATACAAAAACCGGCGTCTGGAATGAGATCTCAGCGATGCAACGACGGGATAAAGCAGATGAATCTCACGGGAAAGGCGAAGGGAGTGGACGCGCGCAAGAAGCCTGTCAATGTCAAGGAGGTCACGCCACCGCGACAAATCGTAGAGGACGATCGGGCATCAACGTTCAACGGCCTGCGCTCCTGCGATCATGAAGATTTCTGCGGGCATTTCGAGAGTAAGTATTCAACTGCCAGCATAGGACATAGGTCCCGGTACACTCAGCAGCACAGCTATTCTTATAAGCCGCGCGCACTTCGTGATGCAATGAGTGATTTCAGAGTTGAAGTGGGCTGACATCCGCCTTGACACGGTAAATCTCCGCGCACCAGCCAAACGAGCACAAAGTGAAATATCCCAGTCGCGCTGACGCAGTATAACGAATATTGGTAGGACGCGTACTTGAACATGACGGCGGAACACAACCTTGCCTCCCAGGCTTTGCCGCCGGCAGCACTTGGGCAAACCGGACTTGCGGGCCGATAGTATCCCACTACCCTCTCTTACGTCCGAACTTTTTGTAGCGTAGCCCTAGCTCTCGCCACGTCGGCTCATTATATACGTGGGTGTAAGTTTGGTCTCTAGAAACTGACCTCTAACCCTTCGTTATATCGGCACTCAATACCTGCACTCACATAGCCCCAGCCCGTCATGAGCTCTCGCTTGAGCATCGAACTCTGGTTCTGAAAGCCGCGCTATGAATCAAGCTATCTAGATGATGTGTACGCGGCTCATCTCTGGGGCGTAACCTTATGGTCAGCGTATGCTAACTTCGGTTTGTCTAAGGCCCTGTTCGGCAACCGAATTTCCAAGTCCATTCGGCCGGAAAGCCAGCTTTCCGGCATTTGTTCGCGGTGATTTGGCTGGTGGGAAGCGGCGACTGATGCCGGAAAGACGGCAGAAAGCAGCTTTCCGCGCGGTAATTCGGTTGCCGAACGGGGCCTAATTTAGCCAACTTCCATGCATATAGGTCTCTCGAACGGCATGAGCAATCATTAACGATTGTGATGTAGATTTTAATCCTGGCTATCGGCTCAATGGTCTAGTCGTATGATTCCTGCTTCGGGTTACACCCCGCTGCTGTCGCAGTTCAATGCAGGAGGTCCCGGGTTCAATTCCCGGTTGAGCCCATGTGTTTAAGCCTTCCGGGTCTTTGACTGGACCTGGAAATATTTCTTTTTTATACCGGGGTTCACGACACATCTGCGGGGTGCAATATATTACTCAAAAGGAAATCTGAGTCTTAGTAGTAGAATTACAGTCGAGCGGCGTTGATACTCTGTCCGGCGCAGTGAACACCCTGTGAAGTCCTCGAGTAGCGTGCCAAGATAGGATCCTGCACAGGATACATGGAGGACACAACTGTGCGGGATATGTCAACTATGGTATGGGAATAGGTCTGACAACGTATACATGCAAAACACCGAGCAACAAACGAGAGGAAAGCGAACAGACGTCGGTATGAGGGGACATGAACAGGGGATGTACATGGGTTTGAGCCGGGCGGCCAGAAGTGGCACGCAACCTAGCCTTCGCGCTCGCGCTCGGCTCTGTGCGGGACTTCCTTGGCCAAACTATCCGCGTTGACATGAATATGAGTGGGCTTCTCCTGCTCGTAACACATCACGATCTCCTTGGTCCACGGATGCTGGAGACACTCTTCGATGAGCGCGCGTTTCTTCGGATCCGGCTCGAGCATACGCCGGATGAGCGGCCGACATGAACGCGGACTGAGATGATTGATCGTGGGCGGGCACGCCGTCTGCGCCGGATTTGCGCAAGCGCTCACATAGGCCTGGTAGAGGGGGTCCGAAGGTTGGGCAACACGCCACGGCAATTCCTGAAAGTGCAGACAATAGTAGACGATGCCGATTGCCCAAATGTCGACGAGGCGTGCGTCGTACGCTAGCGGGCGCAGCCGTCAGTTACCGTAATGACGCTATAGATAGCGAAGACGACGTACGCTTTCCGAGGAACTGTTCTGGCGCGATGTAGGGTTCGCTACCGCAGAGCCCGGTGGACATGTGCACGGTGGCCTCCCAGGGCAGACGGTACACGGTGGAGGCACCGTAGTCGCCGATCTAAAAGGTCAAATGTCGGCACGAAACATCGCGCGCGACTAGGGCGCAAAGCCCACCTTGAGATGCCCGTTGTAATTGAAGAAGATGTTCTCCGGCTTGAGGTCGCGGTGGGCGACGCCCTGAGAGTGAAGGTAGTTGACGCCGGTGAGGATCTGCTTGAAGCAGCACTCGATTTCGCCGGGGGACATGTGCCCTTTCTTGATCGCAGCGTAGAGGTCGCCGCCACCGCAGAACTCCATGACTTCGCACCACTTTGCGCTTTCGTCCTGGACAAGGTCGACGGTCTCGACGATATTGATGTGGTGCAGCGTTGACGAGATGCAGAACTCGGCGGTGAGCTTCTTGACGTACTCCTTTTCCGTCTCGTTCTTGCGCCGCTTGCGGAATTCCTGTAAGGAACACAGGATAGATGCGGTCAGCGGGGTGAACACGATAAGGCAGGGCACGCGGCAGATGCGCGCACCTTGACGGCATAAAGCTTCTCGTCGTTGCGATCCCATTTGTGAGCGAGACGGACGACGGAGGTAGCCCCCTTGCCGATTGCGACACGTTCGCAGATCCCATACTTCTTTGAGAGTGATTGGACGGAATCGCCGGCAACGGAGCGGGCGCCACCGTCCGAATCGCTCTTTCTGCTGCTGCCGCCGGTAGACCGCTGGGAGCTCCTGCGGGTGATCTTGGGTGTGGCCGAGTTGAGGGCGTTGCGGAAGAAGCCGCCCTCCTCCTTTTCCGACTTGACCGAGGGCGGGCGCTTCTTAGCGCCCGGTTCGGGAGTCGAAGGGGCCGAAGCGCCCAAGGCCTTCTGGATGGCGGCTGGAACCTTGTGCGGCAGACCAGCGCTGTGATGGGGCTTGGAAGCCGAGACGGCCTTGGGGGCGGGAGCGTGGATGCCGTTCGCATCGGGGCGCTCTCCAGACATACTGGGCGCACGGCTCGCCACGCGACTCGGTGGCGCCGTCGGCGGTCTTGTGGAGGGGGCGCTGCCAGGGGGCGAGTCTTCGGACGGGGAGATGGAATGGAGCGAGGCATTGTACGAGCTGGCGGTGGACATCGAGGGCGCGACGGCCTTTGCGGCGGACAGATCGCCGCGGGTACGGCCGGGCTCTTTGGGCAGGGCAGAGGCATCTGGCGGGGGGAGGGGGACGTGGCCACGCTGGGAACCGGGCGCGGGCCGGCTGGCGTAGTCCTTGGAGACGGGCTTATTGTTCGGGGGCTCCTTGCCGTCCTGGCCGTCGCCTTCGAGCGCAGCCGGGCCGGAGTCTTGGGCGTCGACAAGAGCCATTGGGCGAGGTTGGGGAGAGGGGGGAGGCAGATGAGAGTTACAAGCAAAGGCAGATCCGAGCGCGGGTGTACGCTTTGAGAGATGGATGCTTATAGATTCATAGTCATCGTGCTGGTCAGAGGCAAGATCAATCGTCGGGTGGTCCGGCCGCGAACGCACGCTCGCCGTCGCCGCGGAGCGCAAGTCACAACAAGGGCCCCTCAACCGCCCCCAGTCCTCTCGCCGCGAGCAACTTCTCCCACGCTCCCCTCCCGACTCTCATCTTCGCTTGCTAATCAGTACATGAGCAATTTTCGCCGCTCCTTTCCCAAACCTCGTCACTCGCCGCTCCAAATCCTATCCAGTCTTACAAACGTTGCTTCCTCGGTCCTTGTACCCAACTCGGCGCTGTGCCCCAACCTCACGCCGCCTGTTTCACGCGAGCGAGAAAGGGGCATCCGTGCCTCTTATGTGAGCCCGGCAGATGCGTCGTGCGCTGGGAATGTGCTAGAGCAACGCCCTAGTGTACCGTACCCCTCCGGCGTCTCCTGACCACTGCGCGCAATCGGAAAATAGATCCCACTGATCGAGCCACAGACTGAACCGCCAGGGGTGTGCCGGAAGTGGCTCTGCACGAGCCGTAAATCGATTCGCAGGGAAGTACATGATCAACAATGAGCTGTATATCGTAGACGACGGGCGAACGAGCATATAGTAGTATTTTTCTGTACACGCCGCTCGGATGCGTCGCCCACGCGCCGGATTCCGTCGAGGCGAAAGGGTCGACGCGAGCCGGAAGAATATCTGAGCAGGAGCACGGAAAGTGCCGAAAGGCGTCGTCGATTGGTAAGACGGGATAGTAACCCTAGGCTAGGGGTCGATGGCGCGCGTCGATCTTCCGGCAAATTCCGCTTGGCCATCGTCGTGCGCACACTCGCCGCCGCCGTCGCCCACGACCCCTCAAGCCCGCAAGAACGTACGCCCGTCTGCTGTGCGAATGAGTGGCCGGGGGAGGACTGACCGGACGATGACAGCCCGACGATGGTGAACCTTCGCTCCCAAAAGAGGCTCGCCGCCTCGGTCGCCGGCGTCGGCAAGCGCAAAATCTGGCTGGACCCGAACGAGCAGAGCGAGATCGGGAACGCCAACTCGCGCCAGCACATCAAGAAGCTCATCAAGGACAACCGCATCGTCATCAAGCAGACGACCGTCCACTCCCGCCAGCGCACCCTCGAGCTCCTCGCCGCCAAGCGCAAGGGCCGCCACACCGGCTACGGTAAGCGCAAGGGTACCGCCGACGCCCGCATGCCCACCAAGGTCCTCTGGATGCGCCGCCAGCGTGTCCTCCGCCGCCTGCTCAGGAAGTACAGGGAGGCCGGCAAGATCGACCGTCACCTGTGCGTTTATATTTCGATATATTCTCGAACCGGGATGCTTATCGCGCGCACGCAGTTACCACTCGCTCTACGCAAAGGCAAAGGGTAACGTCTTCAAGAACAAGCGTGTGTTGATGGAGTACATCCACAAGGCAAAGGCCGAGAAGACGCGCACCAAGGTGCTCACCGACCAGATGGAGGCCCGCCGTGTCAAGAACAAGGTCCGTGGCTCTCTCCCTCACATCTCGCCTGCAAGCACTCATCTCTTTTCTTTCAGGCGGCTCGTGAGCGTCGTGCGGCACGTGTCGCGGAGAAGAGGCAGGGTATCTGGGCCGTCGAGCATGAGGAGGCAAAGGAGTAATTTCTGCATGTCCCCGCCGTCTTTTGCTTTCGCATCGCCGTTGTCCATGGTTCCGCCCGTCGCTTCTTCCTCATTGTATCTTACTATGCTATGCCCGCATGCCCCATCCCATGCCCGACCGCACCCACATCCACGACCTTTGGGTCAGCCGTGACTCTTGTACCCTGCCTCGGTACCGCTATCGGCGCATGATGCCGCGTCCAGTCATTCTCAGCCGTGTTGTACTATTGGAAGCGTACGCGCAAATTATCCAAGCCACATAATGATGCGTGAATACGAGGGTGGACCCACAAGTCCAATATCGTGCCTGTAAATCAAATGCGTCTTGTCTGCGAACAATCACATACATAGCTGCATACATACTCTACTTCTCCGCTTCGGTCACGCTGTCTCTGATCACCACCTACTTCAAGCCGGCCTCCATGGCGCCGGCGTCAACGAGTGCTCCCGCGCCTGCGACAGAGGCGAGACCGGGCAAGCGAAAGCGATCGAGCGCCCGGGTCGCGTCAAGGAGCGCGCCCGACGTTGAACCCGAGGTCTTGGGCGCCACTCTGCCCACCGCCGGCCCCTCCGCTCTGAATGCGCCGACGTCTGCGCCTGCCGCTCGGGACAGTGCACGCAAGGGCAAAGGAAGGAAGAGCGCCCGACTGCACCCGCCTCCCGAGCCTGCGCGCGAGCCCTCGGCAGACTCTGACATCGTGGTCGTCGACGGCCCGCCTCCCATGGCTTCGCTGCCCATGGAGGCGCCCAGCCCAGAAGACGTGAAACCAATCATCGCAACTCAACCACCGCCCGCCGCGTCGAGCAACGCGCCTCCGCGCGGGGACTCGGAGATCAAGATGTCCGAGGAGGAGTACGACATCCAACAGCACAAGCAGATCACCGCCAAGCGCAATTTCGACAAGGTCAACTTTGGGCAATGGCAGATCAAGACTTGGTAGGCGTCGCTGTTGAGTGGACTCGCCTCAAACTGAAGCCCGCGCCACAGGTACTTTTCTCCATACCCGCTCTCAGAGACAGAGCCGGACGCGGCACCTCCATCTACCGATACCCGTATTCCAGGCGTCACGCGTACGACGGCGCGCTCGCATGGACGCACCAGCGACTTGCTAGCCGGTGGGCTCCAACGCGCACATGCTGCCGGCGAGGCCGTGCTGTGGGTGTGCGACCGCTGCTTCAAGTACATGGCCGACGGCACGAGCTACGAGGCACACGCGGTATGTGCTTACTTTCGTAACCACTCGGAGTAGAGGTTCACCAACAGTAGAGGAGATGCACTAGGAAACATCCTCCGGGGGAGAAGGTATATCAACGTGGTGCACACACCATCTGGGAGGTCGACGGCGCGAAGGAGAAGGTACGCCAATGAACGTCTTCGATGTGCTCCCTCGTTTGACTTGGTTCAGCTCTACTGTCAGAACCTCTCGCTCTTCGGGAAGTTATTCATTGACGTGAAGACGCTATTCTTTGATTGCGACAACTGTGCGTACAGTATTTCACTCACGAAATACTCCTGCTGATGCTATCCACAGTCCTGTTCTACCTCTTGACGGATGCCGATTCGCAACGCGATCATGTACTCGGCTTTTTTTCAAAGGAAAAGATGTCTTACGACGGCTACAACCTGGCGTGTATCATCGCCTTTCCGCCTTATCAACGTAAAGGCTACGGAATGCTGATGATCGAGTTCAGTCAGTACTTCCAGTTCATGCCGTCTGGCTCATTCGCGTTGATACTCTCAATCAGGTTACGAGCTTTCTCGACGAGCAGGACGAGTAGGAACACCGGAACGACCGCTGTCCGAGCTCGGCCTTCGAAGCTATCTCACCTACTGGACATCCACTATTCTTCGCTACTTCAGGTCAGCCCTCCAAAGCTTTCCGACCGAGTCGCGACTGATAGGTCACAGGCACATACTCTCAGTTCTCCCCGCCGACACTCAGCGAATGACGACCACCAACGGTGTTCAAGACTTCTCCCTCAACCAGTCACCCGCTCCCGAAGGCGACGCTTCCTCCTCGACGGCCCGTAAGCGGCGCAAGACGAAAGGCTGGGACGGCGAAGCTCACGCCATTTCCGCGCCTCCCCCTCCGCCTTTGCACGCAGCGCATGCTCTGACGCGGACGCTCGAGACGCGCGCTAATCCGGACGGCAGCGCGACGACGCATGCGTCCGTGCGTTGTTCGTTGGAGAACATCGCACGAGCCACGAACTTGCGCATCGAGGATGCCGCATTCGCGATGAGCGAGTGTGGCTTATTACAGGTGCGAACAGCCTCGGGTGGGTCAGAGACGGTCGTGATCACGCGCGAAATGGTAGAGAAACTGGCTCAGGAAAGGGGACTGAAGAAGATGTGTATGGAGATACAGCACGTATTGTTACCTTGAAGACCATCGATGTCATCCGGCTTATTGTTGACATGGTACTCATGAGGGGCTTAATTACCACGATTCGTACGCAATAGACTAAGCTGCTGAAGCTGCGAAGAGCCCGTGCGTCAAGTTGTCACAGATGCGGTAGATGATCTGGCCCAAAAGGCGAAAAATAACATCGAGGGCTCAACCGGGAATTGAACCCGGGACCTCCTGCATTAAACCGCATGAGCGGCGGGGTTTAACCCGAAGCAGGAATCATACGACTAGACCATTGAGCCAGTGACAAGGATAGAGCCATCAAATACCTATATTATGCGCAGCTAGCGCTTGCTGCAAGCCTGACCATCATCGATCATCTGCGAGTTTCGACTTCAGCTCGTCTGTGGACTTCGGCTCTGATCCTCATACATTCGACACCTTGGCGTTCCCTCTGCTTACTGGGCTCAAAGCTCCTTTCACGTCCAATAGCTGCTTGATCTTGACCTCTCCCGAAGAAGCCAGTGCAATGCTCTAGCGATTATTCTGCAATATGCTATATTCAAACATCTACGTCTTGAGAGGCAAACATTTTGGAGATGGTTATGCCTCTCACCTCAAGGGGTTGTTGATCTGCAGTCTGAGAGCAATTAGATGCTACCGCTTTTCACGCTGCCGAACGAAGTCCTCAGCTGCCTCCGGTCCATGACAGCCAAACTACTGGGTCCCCAAACACGCCCGACCATTGCCCTGTCCTATAAGTAGCCGTGTGTACTTATGACATGTAACATCCACACGTATATGCGCTTCCTGCTGCTGAGCGCCCCCACTCTTTGAATCGCGCTGGCTGGACAGTCGTCTAGACATTTGCGGGATACTTCTTTTCCGCCTCCATGACGTCGGGTATCATTCCCTCTTTGCACCCTATCGTCTCACCACTACAGATTGTCAGAGACAACTCTACCTTTCCTTTGTGCTTCGGCTACTTACGTCGGACGATTCATTCTCAGGCATCTCTCTCAGGGGTTGATCCATCTCAACTGGAGGCCATAACTTGGCCCCTCCCCGTTGCTTTCGGCGAAGAGGCCAGTTTCACCTGTCTTTGCGCTCAGCCTCGGGAGCGATCATTTGTATCGTGAGATTGCGACATATTCGTCTGAGCATGGTCAATTGCGCAAATCAGTGATTAGCGAACGCGTCAAAAGGTCCTATATTGTGAAGATTCTAATCCTTCATACTGACGTCTGCGAGACAGAATAAGACGAGAAGCCGTCGACCAGTTGTGTATACTCTTCAAAACCCGTTTGGACAGATACTGCACTCGCATGACCATCGACGACTGGCCGTACTGGAGTATCGAGAGCGCATTTCGCTACTCGGAAAAGCTGAACATGTTGAAATCAACGAGACACTGTGGGTTCTCTATACTACATAGTCGTACATTATCTTTGTACATCTGGCCAGAGTGAAAAGAGACGAAGGAAACATGAAAGGGACTTCACAGTTTGAATGGGAAGACAAGTTCAAGTGCGGAAGAGTCTGACGCGATACACGCAACCACATCATGCGGGCATGCACGGGAGACTATGAGGGTGTGACGTGTGGTGGTAAGTGATAGAGTCTGGGGGAGAAAGCCAATGGCGAACATGGTGTCTACAGGGAAAGATAGGGCGGGACAGTGCAACAAGCGCTGGAATGTTGCCATGACGTGCGCAGCGGGTCCGGGAAGCCCATGCATCCGACCGCGATACGCGTCCGTCGAGCGTCCGGGCCGCTGCAAGCTTCCCTGAGCCAGTAGAGGGATGTGTAGGACCTGCGATGCGGCGCAAGTGAAACGCTGATACGAGTCCGCGTGCAAAGTGCGGAGAGCATCGCGCACACCCTGCGTGTTTGGTCATGGGTGGGCGGCGATCGGCGGCAAGTGGGGACGGTCAGGATATCGATGCAAGGGGCGGCACGTTGGGTGCGCGCAGATGGCCGGCCATGCTAGGGGCGAGTACATTATCGCGCCCGCGCGGCTCTGGAAGATCGAGTGCTGGGTGAGGGGTGTGAATGCGAGTGCGAGTGTGATGCGAGGATGTCGGCTGAGACTGGACCGTGAGCAGGGCGCGGGACAAGCACGCTGTGCGAGTCGACTATTGCACCTCCACAAGCAGGTTGCGTTCGAGGATGAATTTCCCCTCCTTGTACTTCTGGTCGTCCTCGTACGCATACTCCTACATAAAGACCTCAGCTCGGGCCGCACAGATCCGCCAGACCGAGATGCGTACGTACATATTTCCACCCAAGTACTGCGTAGCACTTGACACACTGTATGTCACGCACAATATGGTTGCCTGTGGTCATCTGGCGCTCGACTGGTTCACCTTCAAGCACGTTAACCCTGTGGAAATGCAGTCAGTTTCACGGTCCGGAAACGCAGTCGAATGGTCCTTACACTTCGCGGAAGAGGTAGGCACGGCCGTGCTGCCCATGAAATGACTAATCACGGCAGGGTTAAAAGCCGCTTCTGTGCATAGGCCTTAGATAACCGCCTTACCCTGGACATCATCGTGTGGATCGTCGAGAGGTGAGTGCGGCAGCAAGAGCAGCCGTATACACGGGCTCCTGAAAGATAACGGCGATAGGTCATGCCCATGGCTAAGGTACTTGGTGAAATGGGACTGGGTGGTGGTAAGAGGCGAAAGATGGCGAGAGTCGGAATGGGGGCTGCTTGTATATAGTGCTCGCACGCGGCGTTCAGCTTGAAGTGTTTCACACGCCTTCAGGCCCTCCTCCTGCTCCGGACTTTTGCCTAAGCGATATGCCACCCTGTGTGTTGGGATATATGACTCAAAACATCGCCCTCATCTGCATAGATTGCAGGAGCAGATAGCTCCACAAGTCCAACTAGCTACAGTGCATAGGCTAAACACCTGCAAGGTCCATTGTCCCTCCCGCCGTTTCTGAACAGGAACTACCCTGAAGTATCTCTCAGCGCAACCTGCCAAGCCATCGGGAATCTCGTCAAAGAAGTCGCTCAATCTACGATGGAAAGATCGAGACAGCGAGCTTTCTCCTCACGCTCCTACGGCCGCCCGGAGTGCTGCTGCTTCCGGGACTTGGACAGGTCGATTCGCAGGCGGCGCGCCTAAAGGCAATGGTGTTCTTGTCCAGTCTGGCAGAACGGTGCGTATCACGCGTCTAGGTGGGTCGAGGACGGCACCAGCATGTTCTTCCTCCTGTTCGCGCAAATCCTCGTCGGCTTCGTCCCACTTTTCTCGCGACAGTTCGACCCCACCGATCTTGAGTGATCTATATGATAGAAAACGGACCGCACGCGGGCCGCATCAGTCAGTGAGAGGTTCGAGAAGAAGTCGGGACTGGACTTGCCCCGCGAGTGAGCCGCCCACCCACGCCATCGTTGCAGGCGCGAACGCAGGTGCCCTCCCTGCCTGTGCAC